ACTCCCACGCACCCCCCTTAAACCCTAAACCCGAGTTTCCCACACAACCACCCCCCTCAGCGACAGCTGCAGCAGTGGGAGACGAAGGAGGAGGAGGAGCAAAGGGAGGAAGGCACACCGAGCACCCCCATACCCGCCACCCCACAGCGGCCCCCTCAGGTCGCCTCGACGGACGACGGGAAATGGCAGGGGGAGGGGGGGGGGGGGGGGGGGGAGGCGGTGTGGTGAAAGGGGCCCACCACGGGTCTGGTTGGAGGGCGGGGCCGCGACAGGGGGCGGGACCGCGACGGTCGGGGCGGGGCCGCGACGAGGGGCGGGGCCGCGACGTAGGGCGGGGCCGCTTCGAGGGGCGGGGCCGCGACGCAGGGCGGGGCCGCGACGTAGGGCGGGGCCGCGTCGAGGGGCGGGGCCGCGACGGTCGGGGCCGCTTCGAGGGGCTGGGCCGCGACGCAGGGCGGGGCCGCGACGTAGGGCAGAAGCCCGCCGCGCGCCTCGGGGCGCACAGCGGGCAAAGAACCGCCGCGCGCCTCGGGGCGCACGGCGGGCAGAAAACCGCCGCGCGCCTCGGGGCGCACGGCGGGAGGAAAAAGTAGCAGCGGAAGCGAGGTGGTAACCCACCCACAGGATCGATCCAAGGGGATCGACCTGCTCTGATAGCATGACAAAAGTTAGAAGAAGAAAGAGGAATGAACTAGCAGAAATGGGGATACAAATAGCAAAACCCTAGAAGGGTTGTACTCGCTATAGAGCACCCCACTACAGGCTAGAACATAAGATAATATTCTGACATCGACCTGCTTTGATAGCATGTGAAAGTTTAGAAGAAAGAAGAGAGGGCTGCACTAGCAAGAATGGGGATACCGTATTCACCCGGATATACCCCCAGGCCTATGTTACACCCATGCGGTTATAATCGTACTAGTGGGCTTATAGCCAGTTGCCGATTATAAGCCCACCCCAATTTCTGTCAATCTTTGTATAAGCGCACCCAATGAATTCTGCTTTTTTTTTTTAGCGAAATCGCCACTAACGCACCTAAACGAATCGTCACAGACGTGCATGACGAATTCCCCCCTGGCTCGCTTGGCAAAATTTCCACAGGAGGTGCACGTGCGCGAAATCTGCAACATTTGACTGGTGCTGACTGGGATTCTTGACTGTACGACACATTCTCGGAACTTTTCAGCATGGAACCTCTTTGTGTTAGCATCGATTTAAATCGCCAGGGTGAAATCCACATTCCAGTGTTATAAAATTAAATTTCCATAAGTGTCATTTATTTAGCCCATGGGGTTATAAAATTTACCACATTATAAGCCCACCCACCATTTTTCCATGTTTTTTTACACCCCCACCTGGGGGTATATCCGGGTGAATACGGTACAAATAGGAAACCCTAGAAGGGTTGTACTCGCTATAGAGCACCCCACTATAGGCTAGAGCATAAGATAACATTCTAACAGTTAGATCTTTCACTGTTGTTTATGATTTTGCAGCTCTGGTTATTTTTTGCTATTAGCTGTGTGTCTGTGCTTTTGTGTTTGTGCGTGTGTAAGTGTGCATGCGTGTGTGTGTGGTGTGTATGAGAGTGTGTGTTCATCTCATCTGTCATTGCAATATCAATGCATGTCTGTCAATTTTAAAAATGGGGTTCATTTCTATCATTTCTCATTGGTTCATTGGCGCACTCAGTGACTCGTGTGTTTGCCACTTCGAACTGGATTTGATAGAGTGAACCTCTTTTTTAAAGTTAACAGATTGTATTGTTTCATGTGCTAGTTGATTATTCAAAGACTTTGCTACTGACTTCCCCCTCATGCTAGGCAGGGGATGCGGTAGCCTAGTTTTTGGGTCGTTACTTATCACGCATTTGTATGATATACTGGTGTGGTGCATTTCAGCATATCATATGCATACAAAAGCATTTTCATACATATATGTGTATTAAGTATGCATCTATATATCATGCATCATCATTACATTCATTTAAGCATGTGTGGCGTGTAATTCATTGCTAGTATTCATAACATTTATTACATGCAATTATCACAACAACATCAAACAGTAACAGATATAATACAAACACTGTAGCATTTACGCACAAAATTACTACAAAGACTGCTACCAATATTTAACATGCACAATGGGAAGGGTGGTACTGTAGCTTACGGATTTTTTTCTCATGTTTTATTAAAAAACATGAAAAAAAACTGTCAAAATCGATCGTAAAGGGTTGCTTCGCAACCCAAAAAAAAAAAAACATCACAAGTTTTGCCTCTTGTGTATGATCCTGAACGCTTGTACAACGATTCACTGTACTATCAGAGAACAAGGCGTTGTCCGCTTATGTGACTGGTCTTCATGACAGATGGAGCAGCACTGTAAGCATTTCGTTAAAGGAACAAGGTCAGCAGTGTTGGGGACGGCTCTATGGGCTGGCGCACGCACGAACTGGCGAACACCGGGACTGGCGATGAGAACCCAATCACTTGCCCCACGTAACGCACCGCACCCATCCAGCTCCCTTATCGTAGGTCGTGTTTGTTGTGAAAGTCAGGATCCCTGCCGAGTCTCGGTCGCAGTTTGAACAATCGATTTTCTTTGTTCCACTGCAAAACATCACGCTGAAGTACGTCTCGGATCCCTGTTTCATCGAATCAGAATGGGGTTTCATGTGAGCGGCTCGTCATTCCCATCACCTTCGAATGTGCAGCTGCCATCGTAGCAAATCCGATTTTTTCACGAGGCGCGTTCTGCAATTGCTGATGAAGGGGAGCCGTGATAAGAACAAGGGCCGATTACTTGGCTAGTTACCTGCGGCCTGGCAATTAGGGGGCGATGGACCGATGATGGTCGTTCGCTTGAATTCTCTACAACCACAGTTGGGTTCTCGTGAGCATTGTGATGCGAGTCGCCTCATCCTAATCGCCGAAAAGGATTTTATATCCTGTTCGTTGGCTTGCCCCGCTGAAACGAGATATAACGACCAGGTTATTATATTTACATCCAATAGCACTCGTATGCGAGTCACTCGACCTTAGCATGCGCGATTCAGGAAAGAGACGACTCTTGACGCGTCTCAAGATTCGAGCTTCTAGAACACGCTATTCGGGAATGGCTTCTAGAGAATTGCAGAAAATGACACCTCGCTCGCCAACATGCTCGGACGACAACGTCGCAGCACAACGTCGCACGCTTGTCGCATGCCGACGCCGGACTCCCGCAAAAAACAAGGCTGTTGCTGCCACCCGCCGAACTCAGGGCTCCGTTTATAGAAAGCGGCATGCTTTCTCACCTCGTAGACGGCACCTACGCCCCGAGCTACATAATGCGACTTCGTTTCCTACTCGAACTAGAATTCCCCGCGCCGCGCCAACACCACTCAAGCGCATAATGCGGCGTTTATGCTTCTCGCGGAGTGGGCCTCTCGCGAGTCTTCGTCGAAGACTTGATAATACGCATTCGACAACGAGACGCGCGCTAGTCATAGACGCGACTAGAAGAGAACGAGCTGTTACCTCCCGGGTGCTCCCGCGATTTCATCCCGCGATGGCTCCTTCCCATCCGTCCACGACACGCGCTTCGATCTCGGAGGCGCCTCAGAAGCGGATACCCCGCGCCGCGCACCGGCGAATGCGGCTTCCCGCAACTACTTGTAGGAGCTGGTATCGCGGAAGATCGGCGCTGATAACGGTAGTCTGTATGCTGACGTGGACCTCGTTATTGTCACTCTCGCCAGTAGTTCGTGCGGCTGCTGCAGGAGCACCGTCTTTCGACGCGACTCGAGACTCAGCTGCAGGCGCGTCGGCGGGGGAAGTGGTCGGAAATCGGACAGCTCGAGTCGCGCATATCCTCGTTAGTACTAGAAGCGCTTTTCGGAAACAGTATATTGTGACTCTAGCATCCGTGCCACCCGTGTTGTCGTACCGTGGTGGGCTGCCCGGCTTGTCTGCTACCGCGTTGCCTGATAGCGAAGATGATGAAGCGGAAGGAGAGGGAGACGGGGAAGGGGAGGGCGAAAGAGAGGGGGTAGTGGGAGGAGAAGGGCTTCTAACTCCTTCGGGGAACAACACTAATTCCAGCTCTTCTGTCGTTAATGGATCTGGTTATAACGAAGCGCCGACTTCTACGGCTGTTCAAGGGGAAAGCAACAATCAGGAATGGCTGGAGGGGATTGCGAGTGTGCAGGCTACAGGCGGGATAAAGGGGAATATAAAGCTGCCAATAAGCGGAGGGAAATCGCGAATTCCTCGATTGACGCGCCCTGATGTCCGTATGCCGCACGTGCGATCGTTCGTGCGATTCCTGAAGCAGTCGCACAGGCAGCTGCTGGCGGCACTCGACATCCCGAGCCGCGCGATTTACCAGAGGTGTGTGGCTGTAGTGAATGTGCTTGTAAAGGAGCACATCCCAAAGTGAGCGAAGGAGCGGGGTGGGAATGGGGGGAAGGGGGGAGTTTGGTGAAGGCAGTGGGGGGGAATGGAAGTTGCGCGCATCTCTCTCAGTCCTCTTCTCGCTTCCCCGTGCAAATTCACTTGCGAATCTCCCATCCCGCCCGCCCCCTCTCCCCCTCGCCTTTACTATCTCTCAATCCCGATTCCTCCATCTCCCCTCGTCTGCATCTTCCGCGTTCCCCTTTGGCGCCCGTTACCTGATTTTCCCCCTTTGCATTCCCCGTTTGCGTCCTCTCCCCCGCCCCCTCCCCCTCACCCTCTCCCCTACCTTACCGCTTTTGCTTTCCGCGTTTGCCTCCTCTCCCCGCGCCTCTCCCGCGCAGTTACACTTACACCTCCAACGGCTTTGCCGCCTCGCTGACGTCAGCGGAGGCGAGGAGATTAAAGCTTCACCCGGCTGTAGCGGCGGTGGAGGAGGACGAATACCTACCCGCGCTAACTAGTAGCACTAGTTTTCGCGGCCCGGATACTTTTTCTCGGCCGCCCGAGGACGCGGGGGGCGGGCAGGAGGGCGGGCAGGCGGGCAGCGTGAGGAGGAGAAAACTGATGACCGATTCGCCGGGGTTTCTTAGGCTGCCCGGGTCCCTGTGGGCGGCGAACGGCGGGCAGGATAACGCGGGGGAGGGGGTGATTGTGGGAGTGATTGACACTGGCGTGTGGCCGGAACACCCGTCATTCGCTAACACAGTAAGTGTTGAAAGCAAATTAGCACAGTATGTTAGCGCGTAGCGAATCAGCAGTATCGAAGTGGAACGGGTGTGATTGACACCGGCATGTGGCCGGAACACCCGCCATTCGCGAAAACACAGTGAGAACCCCCACAATTCCCGCAATCACAATGCGTGAGCACGTAGAGAAGCAGTATGGTGCGGGAAGCTCTTTCTTCTCCCTCCGCTCCCAAACCCTCCTCGCCCCCAACCCGTCCCCTCCCCCTCCTTCATTTTCCCCCCCCCCCCCCCCTCCCCCAGCCATCCAACCCGTACAGCCCTGTTCCCCGCAGGTGGCGCGGGATATGCCAGGCGACGCGGGGCTTCCCCCAGTCGCTCTGCTCGCGCAAGTTCATCGGCGCGCGGTTCTTTCCCCCCACCCCGACCCCCCTTCCCCCCCGATTCCTTTCTCACCTCCCCCTACGGTTGTTCCCCCCCACCCAGCCATCCAACAAGTACGGCCCTGTTCCCCGCAGGTGGCGGGGAAAATGCCAGGCGACGCGGGACTTCCCCCAGTCGCTCTGCTCGCGCAAGCTCATCGGCGCGCGGTTCTTCGCGGCGGGCGTGCGCAAGTCGTCGGCGGGAGTAAACAAGGAGAAGGACTTTATGTCGCCGCGCGACGGGGATGGCCACGGCACGTGGTGTGCCAGGTGCGTGAGTTGGTAGGCAGGGTAGTGTGTGAGTGGTTCAGAATGTGGGTGGTGTACGGGCGGTATAGGCGAGTTTTGAGTCGACTCATTACACGATTCAGAATGTGGGTGGTGTACGGGCGGTATAGGCGGTTCTTCGTGAGGACGGCCACGGCACGTGGTGTGGCTCCCTGCGCCGCGTGCGCCTCGCCACCTACAAGGGGGAAAGGGGGGGAAGGGAGGGGGTGAAGGCGTTTTGTTCAGTCCTACCTCCTTGCCCTCCACTCATGGTTTTTTTCTCCCACTCCCCCTCCTTTTTTTGAGTCGACTCGAAAACAGTTTCAGTCCTACCTCCTTGCCCTCCACTCATGGTTTCTCCCTATCGGCCCTCCGCATGTGATAAGTCGAGTTTTGAGTTTTGAGTTATGGTTTCCCACTCTAGACTCGGCGTTTCAGTCCTACCTCCCTGCCCTCCACTCATGGTTTCTCCCACTCTCCCTCCCTCTTTCCCTCTCTTCCCCCATTTTGAGGCGCCTCAAAATTGCGGGTAGAGAGCCAACTTTTGAGGCGCCTCAAAGTCGTTTCCACTCAGGGCTTCTCCCACTCAGGGCTTCTCCCACTCAGGGCTTCTCCCACTCAGGGCTTCTCCCACTCAGGGCTTCTCCCACTCAGGGCTTCTCCCACTCTCCCTCCCTCCCTCTTTCTCATCCCCCATTCAAACAGCGCAGCAGCAGGCAACGCCAACGTGCCGCTCACACTCTCTTCCTCGCGCACCCTCGGTTCCATCTCGGGAGTGGCACCCCGGGCACGCCTCGCCACCTACAAAGCCCTCTGGTTCAACCCTGGGGGGAAGGCGGGCGCGTTCCAGTCACACACCTGCGCAGCCGTTGATGCGGCCGTTCTCTAACACCCGTGCGTTGAGGTGGTTTCGAAGGCGCCTAAAAAACCACCTCAACGCAGCCGTCCGTTGATGCGGCCGTTCTCTCAACTCTCAACCCTTTCATTCTCTCCTCCCTCCCCTCCCCTCCCACCCGCTCCCACAACCCACAGCGCAGCAGCAGGCAACGCCAACGTCCCTCTGACCCTCTCCCCCACGCGAACACACCCCACGGAGGGACGCCGTCATGGGTCTATATCAGGCGTCGCACCCCGCGCCCGCCTCGCCACCTACAAAGCCCTCTGGGTCACCCCGGGGGGGAGAGGCGGGACGAGGGGGCTGGGGGGTGTGGATGAGATAGTGGACGTGAGGGCGGTACATTCCGAGCTCTCTACTCATGTTTTTTCCCTCTCTCCGTCTCCTCCCCTCCCCCACACACAGCGCAGCAGCAGGCAACGCCAACGTGCCTCTGACCCTCTCCCCCACGCGAACGCTAGGCACCATCTCGGGAGTGGCACCCCGGGCCCGCCTCGCCACCTACAAAGCCCTCTGGGTCACCCCGGGGGGAGAGGCGGGCGCGTTTCAGTCGGACATCCGCGCAGCCGTTGATGCGGCCGTATCCGACGGTGTGGATGTGCTCTCGTGCTCGTATGGCGGCGCCATCTCACGGTATTTCAACGACCTGCCGTACCTGCAAGCGCTCAAGGCTGGGGTGTTCATCGCCTTTGCAGCGGGGAACAGTGGCGCTCCCTCCAAGGGGCAGATGATTGGCACTCTCAGCAACACGGCGCCTTTTTACCTCACCGTTGGAGCAAGGTGAGACTTGGTTGACTCGTGTTGACTTGTGTTGACTTGCGTTGACTTGCGTTGACTTAGGTTGACTTGGGTATGGCGGGGCCATCTCGCGGTATTTCAACGACCTGCCGTACCTGCAAGCGCTCAAGGCGGGGGTGTTCATCGCCTTTGCAGCGGGCAACAGCGGCGCCCCCTCCAAGGGGCAGATGATTGGCACTCTCAGCAACACGGCGCCCTTCTATCTGACCGTTGGGGCTAGGTGAGAATTAGGTTGACTAGGGTTTAGTCAGGTTGACTGGAAGTTAGTGTTGCTGTGAGCTGCAACAGCGGAGCCCCCTCTAAGGGGCAGATGCTTGGCACTCTCAGCAACACGGCGCCTTTTTACCTCACTGTGGGAGTTAGGTAAGACCTGGGTTGACTTTGTTTGACTTGGGCTGACTTTGGTTGACTTGGGTTGACTAGGAATGAGCTGCTTGCTGCTCGGCGCGCAGCAACACGGCGCCTTTTTACCTCACTGTGGGGGCCAGGTGATGGCTGGCTTCAGTTGACTTGACTTGACTTGACTTGACTTGAGGGTGTTGCTGTTCGCTTCTCCTGCACACTCTCAGCAACAAGGCGCCCTTCTACCTCCTTGTGCGGGCCAGGTGAGGCTCGGGTTGACTTGATTGACTCAGGTTGACTGAAAGTGACTGTTGCTGTGGGCTGCTAGCTGCTCGCTGCTCGCTGCTTGCTGCTGGGCACTCTCAGCAGCACAGCGCGTCCACCTCTCCTGCCCTCACCCCAGCAGCACCATTGGTTGTGAGTACCATTGGTTGTGAGTACCATTGGTTGTGAGTACCATTGGTTGTGAGTACCATTGGTTGTGAGTACCATTGGTTGTGAGTACCATTGGTTGTGAGTACCATTGGTTGTGAGTACCATTGGTTGTGAGTACCATTGGTTGTGAGTACCATTGGTTGTGAGTACCATTGGTTGTGAGTACCATTGGTTGTGAGTACCATTGGTTGTGAGTACCATTGGTTGTGAGTACCATTGGTTGTGAGTACCATTGGTTGTGAGTACCATTGGTTGTGAGTACCATTGGTTGTGAGTACCATTGGTTGTGAGTACCATTGGTTGTGAGTACCATTGGTTGTGAGTACCATTGGTTGTGAGTACCATTGGTTGTGAGTACCATTGGTTGTGAGTACCATTGGTTGTGAGTACCATTGGTTGTGAGTACCATTGGTTGTGAGTACCATTGGTTGTGAGTACCATTGGTTGTGAGTACCATTGGTTGTGAGTACCATTGGTTGTGAGTACCATTGGTTGTGAGTACCATTGGTTGTGAGTACCATTGGTTGTGAGTACCATTGGTTGTGAGTACCATTGGTTGTGAGTACCATTGGTTGTGAGTACCATTGGTTGTGAGTACCATTGGTTGTGAGTACCATTGGTTGTGAGTACCATTGGTTGTGAGTACCAGCCAACTTAGGCCTGGGCAACGGAGTGCACCTCACAGGGCTGGGCTTGCATCAATCCCCCTCTTGACTTCGTTCCCCACTATCCCCACACTTCCACCCCCATGCCACCAGCACCATCGGGCGTGAGTATCAAGCCAACATCACCCTGGGCAAACGAGTGCACCTCACAGGGCAAACGAGTGCACCTCACAGGGCAAACGAGTGCACCTCACAGGGCAAACGAGTGCACCTCACAGGGCAAACGAGTGCACCTCACAGGGCAAACGAGTGCACCTCACAGGGCACCTCACAGGGCAGAGCTTCCACCAATCGTCCACTCAACTCCCCTCCCCCGTTCCCCCGCCCTTTCCTTTCCCACACATTCCCGTGCCTTCCCCCCACCAGCACCATCGGGCGTGAGTATCAGGCCAACCTAACCCTGGGCAACGGAGTGCAGCTCGCGGGGCTGGGCTTTGGCAGCGGGGGCAACGCAAGGGACCTGCCTCTCGTGCTCTCCTCTGCTGCTCTTCACCCGCTGGGGACTCTCAGCCTGGTGCGTGGTGGGAGGGTGACACAGGTTCGCAGGCACAGGCACAGGCACAGGCTCAGGCACAGGCACAGGCACAGGCACAGGCACAGGCACAGGCTTTGGCAGCGCAGGCGACGCGAGGAACCTGCCTCTCGTGCGCTGGTGGTGGGTGCTGGCAGCGCTGGTGGTGGTTGCCAGGTGGGGTGCAAAAAAATAGGTGGGTGCTGGGTGGGAGAACAGACTGCAGCTCATGGGGGCTCATGGGGGCTCATGGGGGCTTTGGCACCACAGGCAGTCCATCAGATCTTGCCTTTCGTTCTCCCCTCCCCTTACCCCCTCCTCTTACTCCACACCCTTTCTCTCATTCTCCCTTTCCCCATTCCGCCCTCCCCCCCCCCCAGGCCCGGGAGTGTTTCGCCTCAATCCTCGACAAGGCCAAGCTATCCGGGCGAATGCTCGTGTGCAACCTCAAAACCAGAGACGTCACAGAGGCAATGAAGGACTCCACCACCACAGCTCTCGGCGCCGCTGCCATGCTGCTGCTCTCCACCCCTGCTAACCTCCCCTGCCATGTTTCCCTTTTCCTTTCCCCCCTTCCCCCGCTTGCCTCCGCTCTCTTCGCCCCACCCTAGGCCCGAGAGTGCTTCGCCTCAAGCCTCGACAAGTCCAAGCTCTCAGGCCGAATGCTCGTGTGCAACCTCAAGACAAGGGACGTGCGGGAGGCAATGAAAGATACCACCACGGCTGCGCTCGGCGCCGCTGCCGTGCTGCTGCTCTCCGCCTCCGCTTCCTCCCCGGCGCCCTCCCGCGTACCCTATACAGACGTCCCTGCTATTCACTTGAACGCGGAGGATTCCGAGACTGTTCGGCAGTACCTCAGCAAGGCAACCAAGTGAGTGTGGAGCAGCGTGTTGTGAAAACTCTCGAAGATGTTTTGATTTTGGCTATTTATTAATATTGTTATCATTATTATTATTATGATTAGTATATTTCTAGTTTCTCAAAGGCATCCTACAAGGTTCATGTCCCTCACCCTCGCTTTCCGTTCACCTCTCTGCCCCTCCCTCTCTTGCCCCTCCCGCTCTTGCCCATCCCTCTCCTACCCCTCCCAGCCCCACACGTCCCTCTCGGCGCTCTTCACCACGTTCTCATCTCAGGCGAAGCCCCCTCAGCGGCCATTTTCTCCTCCACAGGCCCGCCTCTCAACCCCTTCATCTCATTCCCTGTGTCCCCTTCCTCTCCCTGCCCCATTTCCCGTTACTTCCCCTGCTCCCCCGTTTCCCAACCCCACAACCTCCCTCATTCCGCCCTTCATAACATTCTCAGACGAAGCCCCATCAGTGCACAGACCCACCTATCAACCCCGCCTTCCCCGTCACCCCGCGCCTCCCCGCCTCCCACCTCCCTTGGGGTTCTGACCTCTGGGTTAAACTAATCACCCTTTTGTTTTTTTTGTCTCTCTGCACTTCCCCTCCCCTGCTCCCCCGTTTCCCAGCCCCACAGCCTCCCTCATTCCGCCCTTCATAACATTCTCAGACGAAGTCCCATCAGTCGCCCACTTCTCCTCCCACGGGCCCGCGGCCCACCTCTCAACCCCGCCTTCCGGCTCACTGGTCCCTTGCCTCTCGCCTCTCATTTTTGGGCGGTTTAAGGCGGGGTAGAGAGGCGGGCACGTGGCGGGGTAGAGAGGCGGGCACGTGGCGGGGTAGAGAGGCGGGCACGTGGCGGGGTAGAGAGGCGGGCACGTGGCGGGGTAGAGAGGCGGGCACGTGGCGGGGTAGAGAGGCGGGCACGTGGCGGGGTAGAGAGGCGGGCACGTGGCGGGGTAGAGAGGCGGGCACGTGGCGGGGTCTCGCCTCTTTCAATGCTAATCAGCACTTTCTTCCTTTTCCTTCTTCACTCTTCCCCCTCCTCTCCCCTCCCTTCCCCTCCCAGCCCCACAGCGTCCCTCTCCCACGTTCTCAGACGAAGCCCCATCAGTCGCCCACCTCTCCTCCACAAGCCCGCCTCTCAATCCCTTCATTCTCCTTCCCTGTTTCCCCTTCATTTTCCCATTTCACACCCCCCCCCCCCCCCCCCCCCCCCCCTCTTTGCTGCCCCTCTCAGCCCCACAGCCTCCCTCTCCCCGCCATTCACCACGTTCTCAGACGAAGCCCCATCAGTCGCCTACTTCTCCTCCACGGGCCCACCCCTCAACCCCGCCTTCCCAGTCACCCCGCGCATGCTCGCCTCAAACGACATCTTAAAGCCCGACATCATTGGCCCGGGATTCCAGCTCTGGGCTGCTTCCAGTGGCCTCACACCCTCCTCTTCCTCTGAGCCGCCCAAATTCGCCTATCTTTCCGGGACCTCTATGGCCACACCGCATCTGGCCGGCATTGCCGCCCTGATCATCCAGAAGAATCCAAACTGGTCGCCCGCCCAAATCGCATCCGCAATCATGACCACCGCCTACACCACCAACAAGCTCGGCAACCCCATCCGCCGAACCACCAGCTCCGGAAAGAAGAGCTCTGGGAAAACTGTCGAAGCTACCCCGTGGGATATGGGGTCGGGTCATGTTGACCCCATGCGGGTATTGAACCCTGGTCTTACATTCCACGTGGGTTACAAAGATTACATCAACTTTCTCGCGGGGCGTAGCTATTTCTACACCATGATGAATTTCCCAGGTGTTGGGGGAATCCGGCCGGTGAAAGCGTTCAATCTCAACCGTCCGTCGATCTCCATCTCGCGGCTCTCGAGTACGGTGGTGGTAAGGCGTGTGGTGAAGAATGTAGACGTGGTGGCAGAGACCTACAGGGCGATAATAAGGGGGCCTAGTGGAGTGAAAATAGATGTCAATCCAAAGAGCTTCACTATCAATCCCGGGCAGACGCAAAAGTTTTCGGTGCGGTTTCGGCCCAAGGGGAAGCCGAGCAGGGTGTTTAAGTTTGGAAGCCTGGTGTGGCGAGGCAATCAGTCGCATATTGTTCGTATAGTTCTGGCCATTAGAACTGTACCTGTGACTCAGTTCCTTAACTAGGTTGTTATCTTGTTTCTCAACGCCTTGTTGATTATGTGCTATTAAATTATTGTATATTGAACGATCTGTAAGCATAAATACATACGATGTAAAATCATGTTGCAGCGCAGTGCTGCCACCGGAGCACTGTATGAAGAAACTATGCACAATGGTCTAGCATAGTTTAGATATCAGCAAAGCAAACTTGCAGGGTCAAGACCAGGAAGCAAACTCTGAAAATGGCGTGCATTTCCTGGCAAGGTACGGGAATATTCTCTGCATTAAAGCCCGGAGTCAGCATGGTAATTTATTGTAAGGAAAATTCCTTTTCCTTACTTCGCATCCCTGCTCAACGCGTACATCACTGTAGTACCTCAGTCAGCACCGTTACCACTTGCATCAATAATCCGCCCGCCATTTTCGCATGTCGCAACCCGACCTCACGGCTCGGCGGTAACCCGCGCTCCGGACCTCCGCCTCGACACTTTTCCCAGCCTCAGTCCCAGGCCCGTCGCGCGACAACCACAGTCCATTACCGTTACCACTGTAGTTTCTCAATATAATCCTTCGCTCATGCCTTCACTCGTTGTACGCTTGCTTCGATAGTGCAATCTTCGTTCGCTTACTCCCTTGCACCCGTAACACTTGGTATTCAGAGCCTACGATCTCTTCTCGGACCGCATTTACACCTTCGTTTCCCCACTATCTCAATTTTTTGGGGGGGGTAGACGTCTCTCAGCGATCAAGCACCGCCGCTCGTAGTGCTCTCTCGTAAGCACGCACGGCCACGACAGAGGCTCTCGCTGAGCTTGCCCGACACCCCCGCCATGGCTGAATTTACGCTCGCGACGTTGACGCAGGAGCAGCTTGACCGTCTGATCCGTCAAGTTGAAGATTCAGCACTCGAGATTGCGACGCTCACGGCAGAACGTGACTCCGCGCGTCAGCAATCTGCGGCGAATGCTCCAGCGTCACAAAATGCACCTGCACAGTCAGACGAGCCGATTGTCATCTCGTCCGGCACACCAACACAGCACGACAGCGTGGGACAGCGCTCAGGCGCAGCCAGTGACAGCGCCGCCCAGCCAATGCCTGGTATGGGAGGAAACCGGGCCGCACCAAGCCCACGGGAGCCTCGTGAAGCCCGTCGGCACGTGGAGTTTGCGGCAACAAGTGGCGACCAGGCAATCATGGCGCCGATGCCACTCAAGCCGCAGCGCCCGCCCTGTTTCGACCCGAGCCAGCGTGGTGGTCCGACGGTTCAGTCGTGGATCTTCACAATGAACGTGTTTTTTGACGCGAACTACGTCGAGTTGGACGCAGCGAAGATACGATACGCCGTCTCGCTGTTGAGGGGCCCCGCTATGGACTGGTGGCGAGTCATCGTGACGTCGCCACGCGCCTACGAGCCACCGTCGCAAGAGGAAGGGCCCGCGGGCCCAGCAGTCAACTGGATTTCATTCTGCGAAACCGCCCAATACAGCACGTGGGATGCGTGGTGCGTAGGGCTTCGGGCGCGCTTCGAGCCGATCGCGGCTTCTATTTCGGCGCGTCAGAAACTGCGCACTTGGCGGCAGCTCGGGTCGGTTCAAGACTACACGAGCGGTTTTCTCGCATTATGCGAGCAGGTCGGCTACATGCACGAAGCGGAGCGGGTGGACCGTTACGTCGGAGGGCTAAAGCCGGAAATCTCGCAGGAAATAATGCTATGCGGACTCTCGAATTTTAACGAGATTCTCGCGCTCGCCAAGAAAATCGACATTTTGCGCCGTCCGAGACCGGGGTCCTACTACGGACATCGTCCTCGAGGACCGATCGAGCACGCCACCGTACACGCCGTTGCGACGAATGCAGCTGCCGCACCATTCAAGGGGCGCTGCTTTGCTTGCAACAGGCCGGGCCATCGTAAAAGTGAATGTCCAGAGGAGCTAAGGCGCCGCGGAGCAGAGCAGGGGAGGGAGTCTCAGAGGCAGGGAAACGCCAGCAGTCAGTAGAAATTGGGCCGACTACTGACGAGACTGCCTGCTCGCCCAACCACACCGACCCTCACCGAGTCATAGTACCGATTCACGCTATCGATCGGGCTCGGATGAATAAGGAGGGTACAGCGACGGATTGCCCAGTACTGATCCACGGGAAAATACAGGGAGCAGAAGTCAAGATTTTTATCGACGGAGGAGCTAGTCACAGTTTAGTTAATACCGCGACCGCACGGAAACTTCAACTGACACTAAGCCGGTGCTTACCTGAGATTGATGCACGCTTAGTCGACGGCATGCCGCTGGCCATACGGGAGAAGGTGGAGAGAGTAAAAGTTCGCTGCGGAGGGAACTTCAGGTTTACACAAGAAATGCTCGCAACGACACTGGATGGGCACGACATTTTACTAGGACGTGATTGTTTGCGACGTTACAACCCGAGAATCGACTGGACGACAGGCAGCTGCACTGTGCGAAGTAGTGGTAACTAGGTCGAACTACCACGCTGGCAGTCGCCTGAGTCGTCGACGGTCCACGTCAACGCCATAACAATGAAACGGGCAGTCGCCGCTGGAGCTGACGTGTATGCAGTGGACATCGCAGTGGTAGGAGAAGTTGAGCAGCCGAGTGATTTTCAGAAACTGCTGACAGCAGTACCGCCTGAACTACAGGAGCTATTGAAACGGTACCCGGGGATTTTCCCCGACGACTTACCGGAAGGATTGCCACCTCAGCGGGCGCACGACCATAGGATAGAGTTAGAGCCGGGGGCAGAGCCAACTGTACAGCGCCAGTTCAGACGGACATAGCTGGAGCTCGACAAACCGAGGAAGCAGTTAGATTACCTGTTAGCGAAGCAGTTTATCCGACCAAGCTCGTCGCCGTTCGCCGCACCGATACTATTCACACCAAAAAAAGATGGAGGGTTTCGCATGTGCATCGATTACCGAGCGCTCAACAGGGTTACAGTGAAGTCACGATACCCCATTCCCCGCGCCGACGAACTGATCGACCAGCTGCGAACAGCACGGGTGTTCTCGAAGATAGATTTACGGGGAGGTTACCACCAGATTAGAGTCGAACCATCGGACCGCGCCAAGACAGCTTTTAGGACTAGGTACGGGTCGTTCGAGTATACCGTGATGCCTTTCGGGCTGACCAACGCACCTGCAACATTCCAGATGACCATGAACGAGGCGTTTAGACCACTTTTAGATAAGTGTGTGATAGTCTACCTCGACGACATTCTCGTCTACAGCCGCGATAAGCAGCAGCATTTAGCGGACCTGGAAGCAGTGTTTAAAATTTTAGAGGAGCATCGGTTATTGACCAAGGGGTCTAAGTGCGAGTTCTTTCGGGATAGGTTAGAATTTTTGGGGCACGTTATTTCGGAGGCTGGGGTTGAGATTGACCCGAAGAAGCTGGATATGGTCAAAGCTTGGCACCCCCCGACAAACATCACGGAGCTGCAGAGTTTTTTGGGTTTTGTTAATTACGTCCGTCGGTTCGTCCCCGACATGGCACGCTTAACTGCCCCACTGACGGATCTGCTGCGGAAGGGGGTCGTTTTTACGTGGGGGGAGAAAGAGCATGCTGCCTTCTCTACCCTGAAAAATGTTCTCTGTTCACCGCCTGTCCTGCGCATTGCCGACCCACACCGCCCATTCGAAGTCATTACTGACGCAAGCGACATCACCATCGGAGCCGTACTGCTACAGGACTTCGGGAACGGCCTACAGCCCATCGCATACGAATCACGAAAGCTGCACCCACCTGAGAAGAATTACCCGATACACGATCGCAAAATGCTTGCGATCGTGCATGCGTTCAAAGTGTGGCGCTGTTACTTGACCGGCGCAGACGTGACAGTACGGACAGACCACCGATCACTACAGTATCTCCGCGCACAACCCCACCTCAACCCACGACAGATCCGCTGGCTCGACTTTCTCGAGTCGAATTTCCATTACCAGGTCACCTACAAAAAGGGAGCTTCCAACATTGCCGACGCACTGACCCGCCCCACTGCCCAAATCCACGCAATACTACTCGCCCAGACTAGCCCGCTACTGACAGGACTATTTGTCAAACATTATATATGTTATGCTTGTGTAGGCTACAGTGGGTTAGCCTATAGGGGGTACACAATTCTAGGGTTTACTACTTGTACTCATTTCACTTCTAGTTCACACATTCCTGTTCGCTTATTCTCACATGGTATAGAGCGGGTCCTTCTACGGACCGTTTTTTTTTGGGCCCACCAAAGCGCCCCCCGAGGCGCGATCTTTTTTTTAGCGACCCCTCGGGTCGCCATTTCCCCTGCGGCCCCGCCGCCTTCACTGACGCGGCCCCGCCGCCGGCCCTTACGCGGCCCCGCCGCCTGCTCTCACGCGGCCCCGCCCCGGCTCCTTCGCGGCCCCGCCGCCTGCTCTCGCGCGGCCCCGCCCCGGCTTCTACGCGGCCCCGCCCCGGCTTTCACGCGGCCCCGCTGACGGCTTTGTCGCGGCCCCGCCCAGGCCCTTACGCGGCCCCGCCGCCTGCTCTCACGCGGCCCCGCCCCGGCTCCTTCGCGGCCCCGCCGCCTGCTCTCGCGCGGCCCCGCCCCGGCTTCTACGCGGCCCCGCCCCGGCTTTCACGCGGCCCCGCTGACGGCTTTGTCGCGGCCCCGCCCAGGCCCTTACGCGGCCCCGCCGCCTGCTCTCACGCGGCCCCGCCCCAGCTCCTTCGCGGCCCCGCCGCCTGCTCTCGCGCGGCCCCGCCCCGGCTTCTACGCGGCCCCGCCCCGGCTTTCACGCGGCCCCGCTGACGGCTTTGTCGCGGCCCCGCCCAGGCCCTTACGC